AGGAGAGGAGAAAAGACAAAGTTAATTATGGATCGAGAAGACAGTCCACCTGCATTGTAAAACGAGCAAACTGAGATTAGAGATAGCAGAAATTACATTTGTTATTTGTGCAAGACATCTAAACTCTGTCCTCCATGCAAGTAACTCCGAGCTTTACTACAAGGAACAGCACAGGGGAGTTCCTCCCCAGGCTGGATGTCTGACGTGCTGCAGTTTACATGGAGTCCCCACCTCCCCTCTCTGCTGTAAAACCAAACCAAATAAAAATCTTGCCTAACTGTTCCATTCCTGATCCACTCTGCCAGCTTATGGTGAACATCCCTAAAAAACCCAACTATTTATAGGCCAGAAAGTTCAGAGTTAAAGGTTAAATGTAGGTTTAGCTTAAACATTTGAAACTAAAATGATAGTTCATACAGTGATGGTACTTACACAATCCTGACTTTGTCCTCTGGCTGTTTTATCACCTCTAAGATACATCATTTTGGAATAACTGTTTTTCCTGAGGAATGTTACCCTCTCAACAGTCAATCTTTGGGAACAGTAAACTCTGTGAATCCACCAAATTTGCACCTTTATAGGTACAAAACAGAATACATCTCACAAAGCATCAGCTTTGTGGTTTGATGCATCCACGACGAAGCTGCTGGCAGAGCATCTGATGATTCCTGAACAACGGGATAGCAGGTGAACTCACTAATCATGCCCTGCACATAGCTGCAAGCTCCTCTCAGGACGAATGGACCTCAGCAGAAGGATTGTCTCCACGCAGCACGCTGCAAACCCAACCTTTTTCCTCCATGACTTTTGAAGCAGTAGTCAGCATCAGCGCAAGCATGATTCAGATGAAAGCCCCTGACTTTTCTTGCCAAGAACGAGACTGAAGCTGGTTACAGACAGATTGAGCAGAGACTCAGTGAAGAGAAAGCATGATCAAAGCATGACCACTTGGCTTAGAATTTGCCACAGTTGAGGAAAAAAATGATACAGAAGTAGAGAAAATAAGAGCAGTCAAGGATATTCCTACGGAGGCATCTGATGACACAGCAGCAGAAGGGAAGAAATGTCTCTGTGGAGACTGAGCCATTTCTGTGATGCGGAGAGAGACGCTTCACAGCAGGGAAGAGAAACACAGGAGGTAATGGTGATACTCGAAGTAATTTGAGGGAAGAGGCCTTTCAAGTCTGTTGACAGAGTGAACAAACTCGATGGCATCCAGAGCCAGAAAGGAACAGCAAATTACCTGTCTGACCTGCTGTATGACAGGCCATGCATTGCATTTCGAAGCTAAAATGAGATCCTAACTTGGGCTAGACAAAACACTCCCAAAACAAGACTGAGCTGTTTGGTACAACAGCTAAAGATCTCACCACAGGTCAGAACTGATCAGACAAGAGGTTCATACGATTCCAACACGCAAATGGAGATGTAGGCCACACATACTTAGAAGAAAGAGGATAAGAAATTACAAACATCTACTGACAGGAGATGACAAGAGCACCAGACCTCCTGGTAGCGTATCATGCTGCATCAGGTAGAAGCTGATGATCTGTTCTTCACAGATCGGCCTGGAGCTGGTAAAGAAGCTCCAGTCTGCAGCACCAACAGTCAATAATCAACCACGCACATACTCTCTTCATGCTGTTGACTGAAACACAAACCATGCAGACAACACCAACACCGCAGAGATGACCACCTCCTGCTTCCCTTGTGTGTGATGATGTAATTCTGCTACACTCCACTACTTGGTTGTTAGTTGGCTCACAGTTTACTCGCATGCTAAGATTGCTTGGAAGGAAGCAAACATTTCAAATAACTTCACACAATGTGTGTGATGCAGAATAACCTGGGATCCTAGCATCATACCTTAAAGAGGGATCTCAGAGCGGAGACAACTTGATTCTGAGCATGCCATGAAGACTCTGAGCTCTAGCTCCAGAATGTGTGCAGTGTTAGAGAACTGTACACAGTGCTTAGTGCTGTGCTGTTGGGACAGAGAGCCCCTCTTTTATCAATACATCCACATATTTGGACTCAAAAGCAAGGCAAAATTATGGTCATACAATGCTAATCAAAACATCGTACAAGCAGCTCTCCTTTCACAGGTGTTCAGTGGTAGGAGACAGATCTCTGCAGCTCTGCTGCTAGAATTTCAGTTATTCTTCCCCCTTGTTAAGTATCAGAGTTCCACTAACCAGTAGGAATTAAAGCAGTAAGGGATTGCTACTCCCGGATACAATCACATTTCTAACATGTCATAAAAAGCATGCACCAGTACAGATCCTGAAATCAACGGAGGCATCTGGGACAACACATTCTCATAGTGAAGGAGAGTCACTTGGAGACATCAGGAGTTTTACCCCAGGACGCCTAAGCTGCTGACAGCCTTCAGGCAGGGGCTGCAGGTGACAGCTCTGTTGTGAAACATAGCGTTGCTGTCTCTGCTGTCTCCCATTCCATCCATAAATTGTGCAACTTGCTCGGCAGGAGAATGGGCTTAAAATTTCTTGTCCAAGGCCACTTCCTGGTTTTGCCTTCACTAATGCAGATACACAAAAGTATATTGTAATAAACCCCTCCTATTTCTTCTCACATATAGGGTAAAAGAAATGCTGGCGTGACAGTGCTATTATGTGGCTCACTGCATTCTGGAAGGCCTTCACAGTATAGCGAGGATGACCACGTAAGAACCTGGAAAGAGAAGTTTTTTAGTTTTAGAATAAGAGGAATATCTCTCCATGTTCTAGAGGACAAAAAGCCCCTTCAATTTCTAGCACATACCCTCCAAGAGAAGACAGACTAGTTTCTTTCTGAGGTGGAGCTGATGATCAGCTCTTAACGTATCCTGTTCTCCTAACTTGTCCAAAGACAGAAATCCCAGTGGCAAACTAGGTTCCAGGGGAGCATTTGCTAAAACTGCTCTTCAGTTTTCACTACAAGGAAGAACTCTGTAGGTAAAACTGGTTTCCCCACACCACTCAGCACAGGGGCAGACAAAAGTGCTGTCAAAAGCCAGGGCTTCAAAAGGTGATCAGTGGCTTCTCCTCATTCGGGAAAACCAGAACAGAAAATGGAAAGAAATTAACACTAAGTAAGACTGAGGACTTTTTAAAGTAAATGTTAAAGTCAGAAGTGAGAAGGAAGGAAACCAGGAAGGAAACCAGAGACACAGGGACTGGCAAATGCAGTTCTTGATGCTAATCTCTGCTGACAGTCTCAGTGCTACGCTGGCCACGCACAGATGTAACACCACGAGAGACACAGGGCACAATCCAGGCATCAGTTCCGAACAAAGCCTCATGGAGCCCAAGTCCAACGAAACCCACACCCGACAGCGAGCCAAGCAGTCCCCACACTCGCAGGAGGTGAGCGCTGGAACGCAGAGGAAGCCCTCGCAGAGACGGTTAGTCCGTTACGCAAGGCAGCGTTCTGAGCTCCCTCCAGGCCATGGCCACAACGCTCTGCACCCACAAGCGCCTGGAGAGCGACCAAGCTGTCCCATTACGCTCACCAGTGTACTTGTCGCTGACACGCATAGGAAGTCGGTCCACTTTGAGGCTTACCAAGCTGCCATTTCCTGGAAAGCACGCTCTGCCGCAAACACTCCGTGATTGTGTCTGCCACTTGGCAGGTCTGTCGTTTTGGGGTTTCCATACGAAAAAGCAAATTTGGAAGAAATACAAACTAAGCAAAAGAAGTAAAACCCTTAAAGTAGCAGCAATTTGGGAGTGTGAGAGATGGAGCAATCATGCCCACTGCACTTATTTTTCTAGGAAGAATTACATCTGTGAATTAAGGCCACTACAATGTTGCAGTTAAAACGAGAGTATAAAGAAGGAAGGAGCGACAATCTCAGCGTAGATCCAAAGCATACCAATCCTCAGCCTTTGTTAGCAGCCACAAAGAACGTTCTGTAGTACGCAGAGTGACTGGATCTGTGTAGACTGCCTAGATAAAGTCCAGCAAGTCAAAGGCATTGACAGGAACATAGAGGCAAACACAAAGAAACAGAGACAGTCTGCTACACCGCTCTGCATGGTGAAGCTATTGGTAAACAGACAACTTCAGCCTCCAGGGACTGATTTTGCTTTCTGTATTTTTTTTTTTAAATTACACTTCCTTTCTGCAGAGAAAGACCATAAACCTGACAAATTTACAGATTTCATGGAGACATGGACAGAAGATGTATTGGTATGTGGTCAGGCCACATATGAGTTTTTTTGGGTTGCTGTGCACAGGACTATAAAAGCTAAGGCACCTGCTCACCCGGCACGGCTCTGAAAGATGTAGGCACACAGACAGCTCTGCCAACAGCGTTCACTGCTGGATAAAACAAAGAGGAAAATGACTCCCTCCTGCAAGGACTAGTGGGCTAGCAGGGGGGTCTTTAGGACCTTTGGGCTAGTAATTTTTCTCCCTGCTCACGGGGAAGTTGTTAGCATAAGGAAAGCATCTTCTGTTAGAAAAAGCTACAAAGATTGATTCAAACTCATAAAAGACAAAGCCAGGCAAAGCATCTCATATTTAACAACAGGAATGAGTGCCAGCTGTAGCTCAAATATTACCTTTCAGCGATTTAGAAGAAACAGCCCGCAGGCAGCGCGATCAGCACAGTAAGCACTGTGAGAGCACAGGTCCTCAGAAGCGAGAACTGCTCAGTGCAGCCGCTGAGGCTTTCAGCCTGCCCCCCCCCAGTGCTAGAGGTGCCGTTCTCTTCGAGAGCAGCAGCACAGCCCAGCACGCACCAGCTGATCAGCCAGTGCGAAACAGAGAGCAGCACACGAGCTAAACACCCTCCATTTCAGGTTTAAAGGGCTGCCTTCATTCACCGCCCGGTCTAAGGGGCCCAGCTCTGCACTAGGGCGGGTACCCCCGGCAAGATGCACGCCCAGAAGCACAGAGACCATAAACACCTGTAGAAAAATTAGAAAATCAGAGCCTTCCCGTTTGCCAGCTCAGCCTGGCAGCTCTCTGGTGCACAGCCTGGCCACGCAGCAGGCAATGATTCAGGACCACAGTCCTGTCTGCAGCCTCTAACTCCTACCACGCCATGATAAAGGGCTCTGGGGCTACCATGAGCAGACCTACAATCAGCACGCGACGATGCTGGGCCACCAGGAGAGGACCCAGAGGGTTCCAGGCCCACCATGGGAAGATCCTGGGACACCATGGGGGGATCCAGAGAGACCCAGGGCTACTATGGAGGGCTCCAGGCCCACCATGAGGGGATCCTGGGCCACCATGGGGGGATCCAGAGAGACCCAGGGCCACCATGGAGGGCTCCAGGCCCACCATGCGGGGATCCAGAGAGACCCAGGGCCACTGTGGAGGGCTACAGCGCCACCACGATGTGCTTCA